ATTTTGCAAAAAAAGAATCAATTGGAAAAGAAAATGGCTGACCAATGGCATCAACAATTCTTGAACTTGAGATCCGAAGACATAGTCTGGTGTGTGACATGGTTGAAGTCTACTGATTACTTTTATCCTCCACGTGGCCATAACTGGATCCCGTTATTGGGCGTTCGAGGAGCTATTAGCTATAGTTCAGCATTAGTGATGAGGCAATTTCGTGATAGGCAAAGTAAACCATTGCTAGATGGTATCACTTCATATGGGTTTGATTATTCTCTTGATACTCAAGTAATTAATCAAATTGGCTTTGCCAAGGAAGTATGGTCACAATGTGAAGTTCATTTCTCAATGAACAAGATTTCAGTCACTTCTGAGTTTGAAGAATGGAGGAAAGTTTGGCTTCAAGACATAGTTATCCCTTATGACATTCCTATCATTAAAGAAGCTATCATTGTGGATTTGAAGAAAAGAATAGCGGAGCTAGAAGGTTTGTCGTGTGCTCAAAGGGTCAAGCATGAAAACGAAATTGGAGAGAAAAATATGGACATTTATTTTCTGGAAGGTGAGAAGCAAAAATTGATTAAGGAAAAGAATTCTATAACTTTTGAAAAAGAGGAGGCAGAGAAAGAAATTTGCAAGCAGGCTCAAACTCTTAAAAATTTAAGAAGAATCATCCAGAAGGAAGAAAGGCAGAATGATCATTTAATGAGTGATAAAAACAAGTTGGAGGATGAGCTCAATCAAGTCAAGGATCAGAATGCCAGTTTAAAGACTCTAATAAACCAGCAGCAGGGTGAGATTGATCGACTTAAGGGTTTTGAAAATGAAGTGGAGAATTTGCTTGATAATAAATTACAATTGTTGCAAAAACTTGAGGAAGCTCAAAACAATGAAGAACTGATGAAGGAAAAATTGGCGTTAATGCAAACACGACAATTTTATCAAAGTGAGAAGATAGGAGGATTGGAAGCAGAGGTAGGAAGCTTAAATGGACAGTTGGGTGAGGCATTAGCTACAATTGATCAATTAAAGAGGGAAGGAGGAAAGGTGCTCTATTTGGTCAATGGAATCTACTCTGAGGCAATGAAGGTTGAGCGTACTATTCCACCAAATCAGCATGATGCGGCTTCAAATTTTGTGGAAGGGCTTTCAAGGAGGATAAGGGATTATTGTGA